GGCGGTGTCCGTGCCCCTTCCCCGCCGTAGGGAGACGCGAACGCAGGGACAAGGCTGTCCCGGCCCCTCTTGCGGGCAGCTTTCGGCTCTGAACAACCAACAACCTCACCTAAAGTCCTGGCGACATCCACATTTTAACCGTGAGAGAACAGTGACATTTCAAAAGCACTCAAAGAGCCATTTTCAGAAGTATGTTCCAGTTAAATGTTTAAAAGCTTCTTTCTCTGACTGCACCATACAAATAATTTGGTTCCATTAAGCTTACCTGCACATAATTTCTATTTGTAAGAAGGAGAATAAGAAATACAATTTTTTGGATTGATAACTGCAATCTACCAGAGCTTTAGACTGTTATAAATCTACCAATCAAGTTACACTGCTATGAATTCCCTCTGCAGATCAGATACTGTCAGCCAAGGAGTACAAACCAGCTCTCCTACATGCTGTTCTAGATGCTGCTGCTTGTTGCTTTGGAGCTGCTGCTATGGCGTTTGTCCATAGCACCGTTAGAGCAAATAAGTGAGGTGCCAAACGCTGACAGCATTTTACAATACCAAAAAATCAGGAGTGGTCACTTAATCTGTTGTTTCCTTCAGGGAACACCTCCGAAGACTATTTAAGAATCCTACAGAATGTCCCGACCAAGACAGCTGCTGCGTACATGAGAGGTCAGTGGGGAGCCCAGCGGAGGGCAAGAGTCGGCAGCGAGATCTTGCAGAGCTAGCTGAAGAGCAGGCTGTTTGTGTTATTCAAACTGGTTTTAGTGGCAAATAGTTTTTTGACCAAAGGGGCATTTTATAGGAAAAAAATCCTTAGCTTTCCTGAAGTGTGGGTGTGTTTTGTAAACCCCCTATCTGATAATATAAACTTAAGGAAAAATAAATAACATAAGAAAACATAAGAAAAAATAAAGAGGTACCTTCTGCACACAAACACATATTTCCCTTCAAATATTGCAGAAGGCCATTTTCACTGCATCTCCCTGTCTTGGGTTTCCCAAGGGCTGTGTGAGTCCCCACTTACACACTTCCCCACTTCCACCTGTGAACTCCCAGCCACCTGGCCAGGGCCATTTCTTGGAGCTACATGCGGGAAAACCACAGAACAGGTAATATAGTGCTGCAAGTCATATAAGGTTGAATTCAGGTCACTACAGCTCAGCGGCTCATTTTAAAATTTGTTTGCTCTCCTTTCTAGTGTCCAATCCAGTAAACAGTTCGAAACTGAGCTTGGTCGAGAAGGGTATTTGTGAAGACATCCAGTGCAAGAGCGAAGAGCTGGTGATAAGGAAACAAGGTGTCTACCTGATCTATTGCCACTTGAACTTTCATTTTCCCAACTGTTCGAACAGCCCCACCGACCTCAAGATAGAGCTCCTTGTAAATGACAAAGTCAACAGGCAAACATTGTCCACCTGGTGCGCATCAGAAACGTGCCAAGAAAAGACTTTTAAGAACTTGTTACAGCTCCACTTGACTTACCTGAACGTGAAGGACCGAATATCAGTAACACTTAATCATCCTAAATTCTTGAATGAAATTTCTCTTCCTAATGAAAACGTTCTTGGGGTCTTGAGGTACAGTGATGAAATGTGAGCAGCTCTCTGACTTCTCACTGCTGCCCAGACTTACCTTTCTCTGAACAACAGTAGCCTGCTTTTACTAGGCAACACCTTGTTTTCAATTTCCTATCTTACCTCATCGCTAGGGTAAACAAGGAACTTTGCGAGTGTCCCAGAACAAAACCTAAAAGACTGCAAGACGCACCCCTGATGGATTCCTCTGGTTTAGCGCAGGGTAGGATTGTTGTTGAAGTATCCAGTATATAACCCACAGATCTGCCAATGGTTCCTCAAAACAATACTGTGTTAAACACAGATTAAAACGTAACCAGATTATGGGAAGAATACGCAATATTGAGACTTTTTTGCTAATGGGCTGCTGGCAAGGTGCCTATGTTCAGGAGATGGGGAAATCTTTTAGTAGTGTTTTGATGCGGCTTTTCCAAAAAACTAACAGTCAAAGCTTGTGATTAAGGTTTGCTTTACAACTGGAGCATGCAGCCACAACTCCAGAGTAGGTTTATGGATAGATTGTACAAAAGCAAAGATGACAAAATTATTGGTTCTCAGGCTGTTAGCTAAAACTCTGGGACAGGACATAGGAAATATGGGACTTACAGGATCTATCTGTGCTGCATTCTGCTATGGACTTTATTTCCATAAAGTTTACTTCCAAGTGTCTTCCTTTTCACTATTTATCCATCTTTTCTATGTAAATACTAAGCTCTTTGGGGAAGAGACTTTGTATATGCACAGTGCTCAGCCTCTGTTCTCACCTGGGGTTTCTAGACCTTTTCATAACAAGTATTAAAATAGTAATCCAGTTGCAAATCTAGCCACATAGTTCATTACGATACATTTCCCTCGAATCCTGTCCTGTCTATTTGACAGTACCCTGTGTGACACCAGACAATGCTGGTGCGTAAATACACCGCTAATGCCTGCACTTTCTGAAAATCCAGTATTTAGACCTGAGGTCCAGACTTCCCCAAAGACAATTTCAGACCCAGTCCTCATCTGAGAGCTGTGGTGTTTGGGCAGTCCAGAGGATAGATGTTATTTGAGCTTCTTTGGCTTACCGGAAAGCTTAGATTATGAAGGACAAACGAGTAATCTCAGGCCCTTTTATTTTATGAATTGCAGTAACATAGATATTTATTTGAAATTTAATTCGTACAGTGTGGGGAGGGAAGGGACCAAAAAGTTACAAAAGCTGGTACCAGTTCA